TGCGAGATGACGTGTTTCGCGCGACACGCTCTCTCTTCCTGTGCATTTGCGCACTCACCAGTGATGATGCCCACCAAGTCTCCGGTAACATTGGCAAGCGTGCCAACGATTCCCGAAAAGATGTCCGTCACGGCGCTCAGCAGTCCGCCGATGGTGGAAAGAACGGCGTGGAGTATACCTTGGATGGTCGAGATGGCGGTGTTGAGCACTGTCAAGATGAGGTTCCAAGCCCATTGGAACAGCCCAAAGATGGACTCGATCACGCCTGATAGGGCGGACGAGATTCCGTGCGTGACCGACATTTCGAAGGCCGAGTCTAGTTGGTGGTGAGCGCAGAATACCGAGTATTGTGGATGCTTTTCGACAGGATCGTCCTCTGACAAGTCGTGCAACAGGAGGTGTGATGGTCGGGAATGGGAATGTGAAAGCTGCGCCTACGACGTCATCCAAGATGGCAGCTTAGCCCTCGCTCTGAGGCTCCGCTCATCTTGAACATGAATATATGATGCGGCGCTCAATTCGTGGCTGCTGCGCCACTTTTACAGAACGTCGACCAATCGCACCTGCACCTGCACCCTGACGTCTAGCTGTGCGGTACAGGCTTGAGTCTTCTAGCAGCAGGTACCACGACAATGGCAGCTGCAGCTGCTGCGCCACAGTCGTTCTGGGACGCCGATGTGGGGCACTTTTTTGGTTTGTAGATGCCTGCTGGGGGATGCGAGTCGCGTGACGTCTCCTGATGAGCGGAGGTCGTCATGAGATCAAATTGGCTTCGCAGCGGTGACGTCACACACAACACTCTTTCTCCCTGCTTGAGCCTCGATTTAGCTCAGGGTCTGCGAAACACGCACAGCCACAACGATCGGCCGTGCGGTCATGCATGCGCGGATGGCGCAAGACGCGCTGGAAGCCGCGGTGGTGAGTACGTGGTCACGTGAAGTTGTATGCTTCTGTATGACTTCCGAACCATCATATAATCTTGAATTTGAGGATCAATCTTGGATCTGAATTCACGAGCCTCTGAGCAGGTCTTGAGGCCTCCTGGGCGACGACAAGTACAGACAATCACAATCAAGATACTCAATAGTCGACAAACGCAGCACCAACGAGCACATCTTAGCGACCATCGCCGGGACCGCGACCGCGCCGCATCATCTACGCACCTTGCCGTGCTTTTGTGGCTCTGCACAACTGCATTCCTTTGGCAGCCCCAGCTCGACAGATCATGAGCTTGCGCTGCTGTGCTACTCAATCAGCGGCGAGAGAGGCGGCAGGTCGATTGTCGCATCTTGCGCGCTTGCGAGGCCTGGCCCACGGTGCAGGATGCAGAGCTCTACGCACCTTCGCCTGCAGCTGCTCGATATGTGCGACGTCCTCCCGTCTGCAGAAGCTCCAACTTTGTTCACTGCCCGATGCCCACCTTCGAAGCTCGTCTCCTCGAATTTTGTTTCGGAGGCAAACAAACTCCCCCGCCGGTAACGACCCTTCGAGGCAGATCGTGGTCATAGGCGGCGGTATTAGCGGACTGACCGCAGCCTTGTATCTCGCTAGAGGCTTGCCTGAGCATCGCATCGTGCTGCTGGAAGCTACAAGCAGGCTAGGCGGCTGGATAGATAGCACGAGAGTTGTTGTTGGCCACGCCGATGACAATGAACGATCGAAAGGGCAGGAAACGGCGCTGTTGGAGGCGGGGCCTCGGAGCATCAGACCAAGCAGAGCCCCCGGCTTGGCTATGCTGGGCTTGGTGAGCAGATTCCGGCTCGAAGCGCATTGGGTGAGATTATCTGACCGTGTCCCGCTGCTATGCTACGCAGCTCAAATCGCTATCCCTCATACCACGGCTACTGCTGGTGCCCAAGACAGCCCCTTCTGCTCAGAATCGCTTCATCTACTACCCAAATACTCTTCAACGTCTCCCATCTAATTTGCTCTCCCTGCCCAAGGCTCTCTTCTTGCCTTCTCTCAAAGGCATCCTCAAAGGAGCTTGGCACGATTTTCGCACTCCCTCAAGATTCGCTCGTCCAAAATCGGAATCAGCGCTGGAGAAGGAGAGGCAACGTGCTCGAGAACAAGACGCAGATGAGAGCATTTCGACCTTTATCGTCCGAAGAATGGGAAAGAGCGGAGAATTGTTGAGAGACAGACTATTCTCGGCTGTGCTGCATGGCATCTATGCTGGCAGTCCTCATGTCTTGTCCGTCAGATCTACACTAGGAGCGCTGTGGAAAGCCGAACAACGCCATGGCTCACCCGTGAGAGCAGCTTTGCCCTCATGGCTCAACAAAGGGAAGAGACGATTGACTTCGCAAGAGAAGGCGGCGGATGAAGCTGCTGCGAAAGAGGTGTCGCGATATGAGGAAGAGCTCGGAGATGAGATCGTTGGCCGCATGAAGCCCATCAGTGTCTACTCGCTGCCGGAGGGTGTTGGAGAAATCACGCAGGCGATCGTCGACGAGCTTGAACGAATGCCGAATGCGCACTTCGTCCTGAATGCGCCAGTCACAGACATCGTGGGGCGAGAAGGCCGCAGCCTGAAGGTACGTCTTGCGAACGCGAATCGCTTGCTCGAAGCGATTCTTACCTCTCTATGCTTCCATTTCGCCGTCAGCTTTCCACTCCAGACTCTACGTATTCTGCGTCTCGCATTGTCGCAGCACAGCCGTCAGCGTCGCTCGACCGATCAATTTCGACCTCCCTACCCTGGCTTTCACACAATCCAGGCGCAAATGTAGGAGTGGTCAACGTCATCTTTCCATCATCATTAGCATCGCATTTCCTTTCGGGCGCCAAAGCCAGACTTTTGCCAGTCGAAGGATTCGGCTACCTGATACCTACAGCGACCGAGAACGAGGATGGCGTTCTAGGAGTGGTGTTCGACTCAGATTCCCTACCAGATCAAGACGTCGCGGCGCATACGCCGACGGGTCAAACCCCCACAAAGCTTACAGTGATGATAGGTGGGCCTCACTGGACTTTTAAGAGGGAACACAACTTCCCAAAGGAGCAAGAACTGGTGGACATCGCAAAGAGGGCCCTGCACTCCCATTTGGGACTCTCCAAAGACCTTTTGGAAGATCGCAGTGCCGTCTATCGGGCCAAGTTGCAGCTCAAGTGCATCCCCCACTACGCCGTCGGCCACATAGCCAGGATGCGAGACCTGGACGATAAGCTTCGGGCGCACCCTGAATTTGGAAATGGCAGGCTGGTGCTGGCAGGAGCAAGCTACACGGGAGTCAGCCTGAACGACTGCGTGCTGCATGCTAGAAGATTGGCGGACCGCATCATCGCGGAGGAGCGCCTCGGGTCGGGTTCGGGCTCGAGCAGGAGCATCACTGGGCTGGAGAGTTTTGTTGAGGATAGAACATTTGCTTTGCAGAGCGGTGCGATCAATTTGAATGGTTGATGCTCCTACCGTGCTTAGTTTGCGTGCGCGATACTCGCCTGCCGCAACGACTGGGCCTGGGCAGCTCGGACGTTGCTACAGGGCTGCATCTTGGCAGTCTTAGCGCATCAGACGAGTTTCAGGGGATGATCAAATCGAAATCTGCACTTTCGCTGTCAAGAGCCAATCATCTTTCCGAAGGCGTCGTTGCAATCGGAAGTCGTCAAATAGGAACGCGAGGTGCGCGACGCAGACACAATACAGGACAACTTGCAACGAGGGCCGCACTTGTAATTGGCACTGTAGCGCTACCGCGTCCCTGCTGGCCTACGACGCCCTCTCGATGCGCAGCCGGACGAATTCACGATTGCGAATTCATGCAAAGAGATGATTTGAAAGACGGCAGTGGTGAACTGACACGCTCTTACAAGTTGGAATCGACGCGACAGGCGCTGCACTCGGTACACCACAAGACGCAACCCCGATCGTGAATGTGAATGAATGCTGGGCGTGACTGTCAGACAACAGGCGTCAAGTCCGCACTTCGGTTCCCCCAACGATTAGCGAGCGGTACAGAGACGACGGACGAAATCCATGATAAAGGAAAGCCTGCCTGACTCACCGTTCAGGACCGAGGCTGGTTTGTCTTCTCATATGAGCTCGCCTTGTGGGCTTGCATGCTTGGCGCCTGCGGCACGCCTCGGCAGTTGCCAGCCGTGCTGGAGCGAGGTACAGTCACCACAGTCACGAGCAATCGTGAAGGTGACCGTACCGCATACCGGGAAGGACCTGACTCATACCGAGACCCGAGTATGATCCAATACACGCACGTGTCACTCTTCCACTTGAGAGGGGGGGAGGGCTCTCACTCAGCTTTATGCTCGCTCTGCCATCGATTTTCGTGATTGTCTTTATCAGTTGCTGTGCCTTTCGCTCGAGTCAACGGTACGCCGTGATCAGCAATCACAACGCGCTAGCAAGCATTTGTCACCTCGCTCAGGTACAAAACCCAAGTGCCTCGTCCAATTGTCTCACGACCATGCTGTCTCCCTGCATGGGGAAGAACTATCAGCAACTCGCGTGCCATTTCCTCACACTTGACTCGTGACTTTTGGTCTTGACTCTCACGCCGTCGCGTCTTTTGCAGACGTCTCACTCGTGGGCTTCTCGACAGATATTCAAGAATTGCAGCTGCACGCCTCCGCCCCC